TGGTAATCGGCGAAATAGTTCACTTTTTGAAAGACATATTAGCCATCAAAAACTGCAAAATTGGTGAGTGATAAAAGTGCTAACACAAAGTACATTTGTATACAAATTCCGCTGAGTTGTTAAACTCTTGTCACGCTACAAGTACTCAATACGTTAGCCTCCAATTTTAGGCACAGTTAATCGCACCATAGCCCTTCACTAATAAGACTTCATGTTTCTGTAGCTTTATGCGACAAATCTTGTAAACAAAGATTTACCCACAGCTACGGCTGAGGATATAAATTGTAAGAAAGCGTGGCCTTTCGTTTGTATTCTTCTTATTAGCAACATTACCCGCAAAATTTTCAGGTCGGTCAGGTGTGGGTCGAGGGCGTTTTAAGCTGGTACATGGTGATTCTCTCCTTTGCTTGACTTCAGATCCTAAAATAGAAAACGGAAATAGTTGTGATCCTAGAAAAATTGAGAAATTTGTACATGACTTTTACAGAAAATTAAGGAGAGCAATAAACAAGTTATGAAAAGAACACAACCAAACTTACCAATCTAAANCGTAGTAGAATTTAGCCGTTTAGTTTAGATACTCACGCGTTAGTTTAGGGTAATTTGCACTGCTACCTGGCGATTCTCTCTTTTGCTTCATAGCAGGCCCTAAAATAGAAAAGGAATACAGTCATGGAGCTGTGACCTAGAAAAAAATGGTAAATTTCAAGCTAGATAGCGAAATGAGAAAGATACAATGTCACCATATCGTGAAGAAAGAGTCAGTATTTGTCAAATAGTTTGGCCGTTTCTTGAGTCGAACATCAACTGTAATGCAAGTCAGACTTGGAATAAAGAAAGCGGGCCTTATGCTTCATCCTCTAAACACTAAAGAATCAACATATAAGTGAAATGAAATTAAATACGAGATGCTATTACGCCACATAAGAATTGACTCCAACAGTTTAAAGATCTTACGAGTAAAACGTGGTAAACGGTGGAATAGTTCGCTTTTTGAAAGCCATCAAAAACTGCAAAATTGCGGAGTGATAAAAGTGCTAACAAACAGTACATTTCTATACAGATTTTGAGACTTCATTTTTCTGTGGCTTTCTGAGAAACGGATGTGCTTATACCAATGCGACAATGCTATTGGCGAGGATATACATTGTGAGAAAGTGTGGCCCTATCGTTTGGATTCTTCTTATTAAAAATATTACCCGCAAAATTTTCATCAGATCTGTCAGATGTGGGTTGCGGACGTTTTAAGCTGTTACTTGGTGATTTTCTCCTTTGCTTCACTTCAGATCCTAAAATAGAAAACGGAAATAGCTGTGATCTAAAGAAAATTGAGAAATTTGTACATGACTTTTACAGAAAATTAAGGGAAGCAATAAACAAGTTATGAAAAGAACACAACCAAACTTACCAAACTAAATGTTGATTAAGTAAAATGAATTACTGTTCTCATTGTGGCTATAATGTATACGAACACCCTCTTGTTCGCTGGAATTCAAGGCGATTTTTGGGTTCTTCCGTGTTCGGTGTGCAAATAACCTACATGTAATGTTCGTATGAAGTAACTAGGCTGTTTTCTTATTTATTCCTCTTTTCGTTTAAACTGCAGCAGGACTCCCGTTTGGTGCCATCTTTCCCACAGCGATGTTTTTCTGAGTTCCCGCTTTTGTAAGGCTTAGCCTGTGCTCATATAACCTATTCTAGTTTGCCAGGTCATGTCTGAGAGTGATAATAACCGATGGGATTAACCAAATCTTCCACACTTGTTTGTCCCTATATAATGTTGTAGCTGTTGTTGTATTTCTCTTAGAAGGAGAGAGGCAAATCACGGCGATCGATACGGTGTGACAAGGGTACCCCAGACTTCAGAAGAGCAGAGGACATCGACTTTACCTGTTGATGGCCATAACTATCTCTGCACTAACATTACATTCTAGATTACAGCTTCGTGAAGTGCTTTACAATCATTGAGTAGCGACTGCACCGCCACTAAGGAACGGAGAGGCCCAGGGTAAGAAACGCCAAGAAACCAATACCAATACGAACCTAGTAAATGGCCTAGCTTGCCGTGAGGCTCTCCTATAGTTTATTCTTTCTAAAATTTTGAGTTGTTTAATCCGTGTCTTACTAGGAGTATTCAACGCATCAGCCTCCAATTGTTAGGGACAGTAGCCGAATCCGAAACTAAATCGCGTATGTCAATAAGTAGTTTAGTTTGAATACTCACGCGTGATTTTAGGAGGTTTTGCACTGCTACATGTACCTGACGATGCTATCTTTCGTTTCACAGCAGGTCCTAAAATAGGAAAAGGAATAGCTGTGATCCAAGACAAATTGACAAATTTTTAAATGGATTTACATAAAATTGCATGAGCATTAAACACGTTGTAAAAAGGATGACAGCCACATTTACAAAACTGGATGTCGATAAAGTAAAAATGAATAACTTTTCTTACTGTGGTTATTATGTATATGAACGCCTCTCTTATTCACCAAAATGTAAGGTTACTTTGGTGCGCTTCCGCTGCACATGGAACTTTTGGTTGTGCTAATTATATGTCCCAGGTTCGTATAAATTAAACTTTCTTCCTTCGAAATGCCATAGGACCGCCTGGGGCTGTGTTCCGCTATCCTACAATGATGACCATTGCGGGCTCGCCTGTTCACGTGACTTAATCTAGATTGCAATGTCTTTTGGTAGGCAAGAATGTGCAGATCTTTTGCATTTGTTTGTCCTAATGTTACTGTCGCCTTTTTGAAGGAGGGGATTTATCTCGTTGGATGCTGAGTTTTTAGTTCTATTTACCATATACTTTTGTTTTTTTTATTTAGTTTGTTCCACCAAAACGTCCGGTTTTAATTTACGGAGAATTCCCGTGCCATGCTTTCGCTCCTTTGCCGAGGAGTGAGAAACGCTGGTGACAACAAAATGCGTTCACGCAATTATTGGCTGGTGATAATAGCAATTAAAATAAATGAATCAGCTACTTCGTTATTTGGGATCATGTAGAAGCCTTCGTAAGATCTCACATGAATGGCTTAATAGCCTTTAAGGGAAAAATAAAAAAAACAACAGAAACAATGCCCCTAACCCTAAAACAAGAACAGCTGCTAAAATAATAAAACAATAGCAGCGAACAGAGCTGCACTTCTGGTTATTTGGAAGAACACTTGACCAGCCAGCAGTGACTGTAAAGGTGAAAGCATAGTATCCTTACCTTCTGGGTTCCCAGAAACCGACTCTCGTTCCTCACTCTGGAAAAAAGAAAAAAAAAAAAA